CACACACACACACCAGAGCCAGTTCTTCACCACAGCATGTCTTTGGACTCTGGCAAAGGAGAAAGATGAAGAGAGTTTGTGTGCATCTATCGCCACCTGCTGCTCCTTTTGGGCACAGCAGAGGAATCTGAAACTCCATATCTGCTCAGTCCCTCTTCTGAGGCTAATAGAATTATTGACTCAGTGTCACCTACGTAATAAATCATTCATCCACTTTCATTCCGATTTTAATGGTTAGATAGCTGCTACATGCTATATAGGACATGTGTCTATATGTCCTTGTTATTTTTCACTTGACTGCTTACCTACCAGCCTTATCAGCGCCGCAAAGAAACAGCCCCAGTTTACCTAAGCTCAGTCACATGCAGACGAAGCCAAGGAGGAATGTTAAACGTTTTCACACGGTTTTTCAAAAAGCATTACGTCACCGCAGTCGGCTACGCTCAAGCGCCATGTTTGTGAGGGGCAAAGCCTCCAGCAGACGGGGGGAAAAAAACAACCCGGCGTCGCCATATTCGTTGGGGGCAAATCCCTTTATCAGGAATCCGGGTCGTCCGCAGTTTCAGACGACGACAACAACAACAGAGAGGCACACGCAGAACAGAACCATGGATACTGGATCGTACCGGCGCCGAGGTCCACTTATTCTGATTCTCTACTTTATTCTTGGCTCGGTTCTGTCCCGGGAAGATGGGCTGGCGAAGGAGCGGCTGTTCGGAGCCGCGGTTCGGGTGTCGGGTTCCGACCCTGGTGTACAGAGGGCGGTCCGGTTCGCGGAAGAGCGTTACAACATGGGTTCGAACGGGATGTATCTGCGACGAATCAGCAGGATTGTTTCCGCCACCAAACAGGTACATCGATGACGTTTTGTTATTGAACCATAAATTCGATCAGCGTGTGAACTGCAGCTGTACAAAAGTACTGCAAACGAGCACGGTTATGTAAGTTACTAAACAGTCGTGGAGTTTTACTCTGGAGCTGTGAAAATCAAGAATACACATACGCAACGCAACAGACTAGATCGTTATAAACCGACCAATCGATAAGTAATCAAGTTGATATAATTCCTTGAGCCCCTGAACAGTCCTGGTTACTCTGAGCTGTGTGTAAGATTCTGGTAAATATTGCCACAGTGAGATTAATGACATTCCGTTTTTAACTGGGATCCATGTTGTTTCTAATGA